CTGATAAATACAAAACTCCTTAATAATATATTTTAAATTGTTATATCATATAGTAAAATACATACTATATTTGAATACATTACATACAACAACTTTAAAAAGACATTCCTGTACCTTCTTGCAGCTATCAGGTTTACAGATAATGTGAAGGATAATTCTTATAATAATATACATTTTCTTCTTCACGGTGACACAAGCACAGGCCTTGCCAACCTTACTCTATTTTATATACAACAGTCTCTCATTTACGATGGGGGTTACATTTCTCAAAATAATGGGACTGTCAAAACCAAGACCTTGGTGGAACCACGAATTTTAACTTCAATAAACTCAAAACTATTACCTGTACCTTTATTAAACACAAAGAATTTGTATGAAAAGTTTAAGAAAATATATAAATAATAATATATTGGTTTGATATGGTATTACAAACTTGCTTCCAGAAAACGTTAATTTCTTGGTGCAGACATCACTTATTATTTTGCATGTATACATATGTATGCAGATATTTGAAATCCATGGTTGGCAAAGAATTCACACACATAACACAATTAGCTTTATAAAAGAATATTTATAACAAATTCTTTATGCTCATCTATTATTTTTACATTAAAGTTTAAAACATTTAGCTTTATAAAAGAATATTTATAACAAATTCTTTATGCTCATCTATTATTTTTACATTAAAGTTTACCTGTAGTTTTCAACAAGGCCCCGTATTAGCAGTGTCATCAGACACTCAGATTTTTAATAGTATTTTATAACTAATCTCATATCAGCTTGATCGACGGAACATGAATGAAAAAGTCACTGGACTTTTGGTATATGGTACAAGATTCACCCAGTTATTTTCATAACGTAAGAAGTGTACTTGTAAACTTAACCTTAATGAAAATGCTCGTGTCTGAAGACTTACATTTAATTGGTACACAGTTTATACCGTATCAAAGAAGAAAAGTGTATTAAAATACTGGATACAATTTAGAACTAACTACTAAACAGGGGCCGCGCCATAGCTCAAGCGGTTAGTCGCTGGCTTCCCATCACGGTGGCTTAGGTTCAATCCCGGGTCTGGTCAAGTGGGATTTGTGATGGACAAAGTGTCGCTGGAGCAGATTTTCTCCAAGTACTTCGGTTTTCCTGCCAATCTTCATTCCACCAATTGCTCCACAATTGGTACAATAGGCCAGAAGTGGTCGCAGTACAAGGGACTTGCAAAACAGGCTTAAATAAAGTTTGTCAATAATCGTTCTGGGAGTACTGAATGGATACTATGCTCAGACTCCAGATTCTCAACATGGAGCCTCACATGAAATCTCAGACGACTTCATGTAAGGTCTGTGGTGGACAAAGTGGCATGAGAGAAGGCTTTTTACTGAGTTCTTTTATTTCATTCACTAATCATCATTCTATTAATGCTCTACACTAATTTATTACTAACCCCTGAAATGTGAAATAACCCTGATCAGGCAACAACACTCATCATATTCTTCACTGTCAAACTAGGAGACCATGACCCATTAATTGTCTGGTACCTGATTTAAACATTAAAAAAACTGACTCTACATTTAATTTACATTATGTATTATTCAGAGCACTAATACTGTGGGATTTTTTATATATGGAGGTGTTTCTTATAAAGTAATCTGCAAACAGGTTTCACCAGTCTCCAAAACATTACACTGAAATATCAGAGTATGCTTGCCATTGTAGACTATTTAATAACATCATTAGCTGGCCAATGACCACATATTATGTGTATATCATGGACAAAGTGTGTAGCGTCATTTTTTCTTAGTGTTACAAACTATTTACAGCATCTGTGGTCACTACTGTGTGGGTGTAACTGTATAGGGAAGGCAAGCAATAATGGACCTGAGGTTCTCACAATGGTGGTAAGAAAAGCTGTCTTCTGGGAAATAAAAACGAGTAACCCAGTGAAAGTCAAATTACACTGCAGTGGAATAATACTTCCATCTCCAGAGTTGAAGAGTAAGCCATGCAAGAAACTAGCATGAAGGAGGCTCTGCTTACTGCCTGCTTCATGCTGATTTCTTGCTTGGGTTTAATCTCAAATTCTTAATAATGATTTATCGCGTACCTCTCGAATATCACTTGATTTCACTGACTACATGGCATTTTATTCCAGAGGACAAAATTCATCAAGGCATGTGATGTTTAGTATCAGCTAAACTATGACATGCTGAATATATATGTAACAGAAACTGGATTGCAAAGTGTTATGTGCAGATTTGATTTATAATGCTAATTTTGGGGAAGCAGATAACTTTGCGACAGTAGTATGAGAGCATTACTTATATGAACCTTTTATCAATTCTAGCTTCAAATGTGGACATGAAATATAATGGTTACATCAGCTAAAAACTAAGTTATAAATAGTAATCAGCTGATATAAACAAACTCATAATACTGGAAAAAGTATGTTACAGCAATAAGGATGTGATGATTGATATGTTGTGGAATTTCTTGATATCATAAAATTACTTACAATCATTCAAAAGCATCAAACGTATGCACACTGTCCCTTGCTGGTAATTGGAGAGACTTTTCAGTTGGTTATATGGAAAGAAAACGTGTATGATGGAAATATATGTACTAAGAAATATTCCATGCTGCTAATTATAAGCACAACTTGCCACTGTAATTTGTATTTAGTTATTAAAATTTTTATATAAATGAAGGCAATATAAAACATTTGGGGCTAAACATAATTTGAGAAACTGGAAAAAATTACCGAGAAATTTTGGGGAAGTTTTCAAAATGAAAACATGATCCTAATACAGTAGAACTTGGTTATAACGTCATCAAAGGGACGTAAAAATAGTGTCGTTATAAACGAATGTCGTTGTAACCGAAATGGGCACTTCCACAGTAGCCTTACGTTAGTCACGTAAAAATCTACCAAAAACCGAGTTAAAATGTTGCATTTTTTAGTGAAATACATAGTTAAGTACAGACTAACGTAACATTAACGTGGAATTGCCCAAATGTGTAATATCAAAGACATATTACAGCGCTTTTCACTGACAATACACACCGCACTAATACTGTATATTAAAGGTAGGCCTACTCACCAAATTACAGTAGATTACATCAATTGTTGTGCCTTACTGTACCTAGATACGAGTACAGTAATCAGTTATCTTCATCTGTTTCCTGTTACTTGCCCAATACACACTTTCTAAATTACGTTCAATGTCCATAATTTTTGTCACAATTTCACTGCTGCCTCCCCTGGATTCATAAAACAAGTTCACAACCCTAATGGCTTCAAGCGCGCCACTCACAGTAGGGATGGAGACTTCAGAACATTCTTCTCCTCCTTCCTCATCTTCCTCCTCTGTATCCTTCTTCACTTCCGATACAATATCGTTGTCTGTTTGTGCCTCCGTTGTAACAATGTCTATTGTTGCATATGCCTCATAGTCATACTGACCTAGTTCATCACAACCTGCCGCGTCCTCTTGCACTATTCACGCAGTTCCACCCCACACCCTTGTTTTCGCATAAAACCCACGCTCCTCTTGCAGCCCACGGTCGTATTCTTCCAGGATGGTCACGTCAGCAAGTAGAGAAAGTGAGGGTGGGCAGACACATCGAACTTTCCCACGATATCAGAGAAATTCAGGAATGAAAATGTACGAGGTTGATGCATTTGTGCATATCGTACTAAGCAAGGTATAAAAACAGTTGCTTTATGAGGAATTAGTTCGTACCATTGAATATTTGACGCAATAGACAAGGTGTCGCAGAAACCGATGTTGCTATAACCAAGTTTTACTGTATATATAAATGGCATATACTCTGCAAGAAAATGTGAAGTAAAATAAGAGTTTTAAAAGTATACTTAATTTCAGCACAAACAATAGAATTCATTTTCCACGAAGTTATGACTCACAAACTACATACATAAATGTCTCGCACCAATGAAAACAGAAAATATGTTGTGATATTAGTCCTCCAAAGAAGTATCAAATTTAATACATCAAGATCTGTGTTCTCTGGTGCCTACCTACTTGCACCAGCTGAACAATCTGCATGGCACAGTCCAGAAGGCACATTCTTTGAACAAACACAAAAAGCAATCAATATGGCATATTTATTAACGTTTTCAGTGCTTACTTTGCAGCAAATGAGGGAATGATATCTTGTAAAATGCTATCTTTTATATCTATAAATCAGGTCACCCAGTGCTTAGAAATGTGACACAACTTTCATTTGGCTCAAATTTCACTCTTTTGTTCCTCTTCAATTTACCAAGACAAATTTCTTATCTATCATTATGTACATGTCATCAACACCATTTAACCCTTACAGCAAACCACATTATCACATTATCAACTGACATGCACACAGCATTAAGAGCCATAACTTCTACGTAGTCTGTAACAGTCCCGCTCCCCAAAGAAAGAAAGAAAAAAGGTACTATATGTTCCTGCATCGTGTTTTCGTACTTTACCACAGCTTACATGTATATGTATGTTTGTGTCTCTATAGGAAGAAATGTATGCATGCACCTATTTTTTTTTATTGCTAGTGGGGTGGGACTAAGTCCCTTGTACTGCGGCCACTTCTGGCCTATTGTACCAGCCCCAGATGATAGGTGAGAGTGATTGTGGAGCAATTGGTGGAATGAAGATTGGCAGGGGAAACCAAAGTACTTGGAGAAAACCAGCCTCAGTGCCACTTTGTCCACCACAAATCCCACTTGACCAGACCCGGGATTAAACCCGGGCTGCAGCGGTGGGAAACCAGCGACTAACTGCTTGAGCTATGGCATGGCCCCATGTGTGCACCTATGTTCCCCCAACATACACTCACACAGTCTCCCAAACACCCACCCCTCACTGCTGTATTCTCTTGTTGCCGTGGAAACATGCCTGTATGCAGATCCCTTAGTCAGCAACAGCTGTCATATAGCCGCTTATTTTGCAGTCAATGCCTAGCAATGAGTTTACATGCCACAGTACTTATAGTGATTTATATTAAATGCTTTAAACAGTATAAAATGAAATGCCTTTTGTCTGCAATGAACAGTTATATCTAAGCTGAAGGGTTAACAAATCAGCTATGTATGAGTATAAAGCCATATAAGCTAATGGCATATTTCAAGAAATAAATGACTAAAGTACAAGGTATGAATTCAAGCACAGTGCAATCAGTTTTCTGCACTCCTGAGGCTAGTATGAGAAATATGATGCATGAGACTGCTTTCCAGATGTGAATGTGTTCAGTACTGTATCAGTGTTAATGGTTCTGCAGACCACACTTACCATCCTCTTGTCACTGGTTACACGTGGAAGTGCCAACAATCACGAATGTTAGCAGAAAAATAGAGGGTAGATGCTGTTTCTAATTTTTCATGATTTGGAGGAAGCTGTACAGAGCTGACATATCTGTCACAGCTTTCATTACATTGATCAGGTGGTATGTCGGCTCAGAAGGTGAGATACTGGTCTCGTAGGTTTTGTATAAAAGAGGCCTGCTGCAAGTCACGAGTAGACTGATTTCTTCGGAACAGAATGGGACAATCAAGAGAAATGCAGTCAATGGCTTCAGGACGTCCACAACATGACTGGCACACCTGAGATTTAATTTGAAATTTTAGTCACAGAACAGAGTCAATCATATATGTAGAAGTACATATTCTTCCTTCCTCAGTGGCATTCTTTTGCACCTAAACTGATGATTACACTAAAATGACACAATCCAGTCTCATTCATAAAAAGGATGTTAAAAAATGTGAAGATGAGATCTTCCTTAGAAAAACCTTTATGTTGCTCATCGTAACCCACTTACTACCTAACTCTTTTGTGTGAAGCTGACTGCTTGCTTCTAAGTAGTGCTGAGGTCAAGAAAACATGGGTCTATACATCCACTACCCCAGACATCTTCATGGTGTAGTGTTTAGTTAGTTAAGCAGAGGGACAACTTTACCTTATTAGTATTATGTCAGGTCAACAACTTTTAGTCAGGAGCTCCTTGCTGCATTAAGAATTACATGACCAGGAGAAAAATAGCTTTTACAACAAAAATTAAATTCTGAAATAACTCACATACTGGAATGACTTAAAGGCAGGGCATAATAAAATACCCAGGGAACAATCAGCACTATTTATGTGTATATTATTTCAACAGTCACAACTTGATATCACTATCACAATCATTCCCACATTTCCTTTAACTAAATGGTTTGTAAACAGACAGCTTCTATGTACCAAATAAAACATTATGTTACTACTATCACTCCTCTCTCCTGTCTGATTACATTAGTTATCCAAATCCTAATCATTCCAAGTCACTTCTCTCTTACTTTCACATGAACATAATTAATTTTTCAATAGTCTTCATTTGGGATTCACACAATTCTTTACTTTTGGTATATCTGCTCCTGTGTGAAAAATTTTTTGAAAACATAGGAAGTACTGAGGGTCCACGGTGTCTAAAAAGTTCTGATGGTAAGAAAAGGAGCATCCAATATATACATATATATATATATATCCATCATATAGTTCTGTAATATAATTTTCCCAAATTTTCAGCACTTGCCTCTAATCTACTAATCTATTCCCCTGGGAGTCTTCGATGCCAATATTTTGAATCTCATGGTTCTCTTTCCATCCTAGATCTTTTGTCTTCATGTACCTCAAATCATAATGGCCTGTCCTTTGAAATTCTATAATCTCATTACATATCTTCTCAAGATATTCCCTTTTGGCCCTGTCCGTGGCTCTTTTCAATTCATTCCTCAGTCTCCTGTATTTTTCATTGTTTACATTCTTCCACTTCTTTTGCTCCTCCATTTTACTCATCATCTCCTGTGTAACCCATGGTTTTCTTGCTATCTTCTCAACTTTACCAACCAATTCACTAATAGTATCTAACACGCATTCTTTTATATTGTCTCACTGCACTTCAGCATTTCTGCTTTCACTTTCAGTTACAGTGAGTTCCTCTTCTAGGGTCTCCTGCATGCTCTGTCTTTGAGCATATAACTTCTCGAAATCCCATCTAGGTCTGTGCTTTTGGAATCTTATAATTTTCTTCAACCTGATTCAAAACTTGGCAACCGGTAAGTTGTGGTCAGAGTCAATATCTGCCCCAGGCAGCGTCTTCACATCCTTCACGCTGTTTCTGAATCGATGTTTCACAAGGATGTGGTCCAGCTGATGCTGCCTCCAATCCCCAGGTGCCTTCCATGTGTAAAGTCTCCTCTTTGGCTTCTTGAACCAAGTGTTGGTAACAATCAGTCCATTTCTTTCACAAAAGTCAATAAGCATTTGACCCCTGTGATTCCATGTTCCTAGTCCATGCGATCCAACAATATTCTGATATGATTCATCTGAACAGTGCTATTCCAGTCTCCTAATATGATGCTGTTTGTGTCACCTCTTCCATCTTCCTGAAGAATTTCTTCAGTTGTGTCATACACTTTTTCCACTTCATCATTTTCATACTCTGATGTTGGCATGTACACTTGCATAATCAGTATATCTACCGGTTCCGCCTTTAACTTCAGAGCAATAATTCTGTCATTACAATCAATCTTCTTAACAACACTCCTCACTACACTTTTATGCACCACTATTGCCACACTTCTTTCAGCCCGTTCACCTCCACAATAATACACTGTATAATCACTTCTTATTTCACCTTGTCCTTTCCACCGCACTTCTCTGACACCTAAAACAGACACCTCATTCTTCTGCATTTCCATTTTCAAATTCTCCAATTTGCCTGCTTGATTCAAGGTCCTTACATTCCATGTTCCAATCTTGTAGCCATGATGTTCCTTCTGATCTTCACACTTTTTCTTGTTGTAACACCTGCATGACATTTCCTCTAGAAACACTCCCCCTTGGAGATCTGATTGGGGGAGTAGTTTACCTCTGGATTGTTTTGTCTCCAGAGGAAACATCTCGCATACATGGTATCTCTGTTTTTGGAAAGAGACTATCCAGGAAAGTGATAATGTGGTAGTTTTTCCATTTGCCTTCCACATCACAGTACAACAGCCATTCAAACCACTCTGGTCACGCCTGTTGCTATATGAACTTGAACCATCATGAGTATCATTTGCTCTGTGCTTCAAGTCGCTGCTGATGACGCTGCGTCCGGCATCAGTTTTTGGTTTTTGGTCTCTCTCTTCGTCTGATGCCTACCCTTTGACCTGTCCAGAAAGGGAGGCTCTGCCAGTAGCTACGCTACCACTGGTATAGCTCTCAGCACTCTCAGGGTCCTTGGCATACTCAAACCCCCTCACCAGTCCGGACACATGGTAATAATAAAGAAAACTACACTGTGAGCACATTAAACATTTTACATTAAGAGATGTTTCTAACCACAATATAATTCTGTTATAATGAGAACTGATTAGTGTGAAAAATTGATGCTATAATGAATACAGCAAAATCTCAATTTTACATTTTCTTTGATTCTATATAGTTTGTATTGGTCCTGACAAATCCATATAAACAATGTTAAACTTGTAAGGTTTGAGCTTTTCACGGCGGTGACTATGAAGAAAGCAGTCTTCTGGGATTTGGCACTGTGTATATGTGGCGTTAACCGACGTTTCGGAGGAACGTATCGCCTCCATTTTCAGGGTAGAAGGAAAAATATAAGAAACATTGCTTTTACCAGTTCTCACGGTCTCTTCCCTTGCGGATTTCTTATATTTTTCCTTCTACCCTGAAGATGGAGGCGATACATTCCTCCGAAACGTCGGTTAACACCACATATACACGGTGCCAAATCCCAGAAGACTCCTTTCTTCAATGTTAAACTTCTCTGGTATAATATGTTTGTGATAAACTGGTATATTGACATTTGAAATACTTTAAATTGGAAATCGGCAGGAAAGGAAAATTTATTTTTCCGTTATGATTTTTTGTTTACTCTGCTATCTTCATATGGCTTCAAGGTTGTGCCAGGAGAGCAGAGCCATGTTTCCTACCATCACCAATCCTGTGTAATGGCGAATCACTTGTGATGTGGGTTGTAAATGACAGAAAGTTCCATGTGCTTATTAGATAACTATGTTAGTGGTTCTTTTTTAATATACTGTGAATTAAATTTGTAAACAGTTTCATTTTATTTCCTGGTTAATATTATAAGTGACTGCAAGTTGTATGAGCTTATTAAGCTGCTATGTTAATGTTGTTTTCTGAATCTACTGTGAATTAGACTAGAAAACAGTTTTATTTTACTTATTGGTAGGGATTTATTTTTCATCACAATCAGCATACCAAGGATAAGAAACGAATTCTCTGTTCAAGAAAAATGGGCATTCTAACCCAAGTTGATGCTAATACGTAAATACATATTGCTCTGATTGCCAGAGTAGGAACTGTGTTGTCAACATTGAGCAACTCTGTTAGAAAGAGGAAAGACATTGAAAAGTGTAATGCATAATGTGGCCAGTTCTCTGGTCACAGGAACAGCCAGAAACAATCACCCTTTCAGGAACTGGAGAGTTTGTTGGATGTGTGGTTTCAACAAGCTAGAGGCAGCAATGCTCACGTGCACATTACTGAAAGGAGAAGTTCCATACATTGCCACAAAGTTTGGCACTGAAGGTTTTAAAGCGTCTAATGGCTGAATTGATAGTTTTAAGCTAAGAACCTAAGAACAGTTATAATGCTGATGAGACTGAGCTCTTCTTTGGGATTCCACCTAAGAGGACAAGGAGTTTGAAAGGGGATCCCTGCAATGGTGGAAAGAATTTCAGGTAGAGGATAATGGTTCTATGAGGTTCTATCAGAAATTTCCCTGACTATTACTGTTGTAACTGCCTCAGTGAAAGAAGATGAGACAGGAGGCCAACGTCACACTTCCAAAAGCCTGTTGCATCAGTTTGCCATGTGACACTGCTCTGTGATCATGGACTGTTTTTACAAAAGTTCATTTTCGACTTTGTGTTTTGTTTTGTGTGTGATGGATGGCAAAATTAAGCAATGTCTCTGCATCAGGTTTTGCATGAAACTTGGTAAATCCACCACCGGAACCCTTGTAATGTTTCCTGAGGCCTTGGAAAACATTCTCTATGCTGGACAGTAGTTTTTGAATGGCTTTCACGTTTCAAGGCCAGTCAAGTGCCAGCTGAAGACGATGAATGTTCAGGGCGACCAAGCACCAGCAAAATGACAGGAAATGTTAAAAAATTTGAGAACTCATCCATGACTATCATCAAACAATGAGTTCAGAGACAACGTTGGGATTAGTTATGCAGTTTGACATGAGATCTTAACAGGAAACTTGAACATGCGCCACACCACAGTGAAGTTGTTCCCCGGCTGTTGACAAATGATTAAAAGCAGTGGCGCAGAAACGAGTCTCGAGCTATGAGAAGGCTAAAGAGGACCCAACTTTAATCTCTAGGATCATAACAGGTGACAAAAGTGACAAAACAATCATCGCAGTGGAAGATCCCATAATCACTAAGAGCAAAAAAAAAGCGCGGCAGGTCCAGAGTTCAACAAAGAGCATGCTCATTGATTTTTGTTTTCAGTACGAAGGGGACTGTTTGCCAGGAATTTGCTCCTCCGAACACTATAGTCAACTCTGACTTTTAATATATATGGATAAATACCGTCTTAAGTGCAACAAATTTTATTGTAGTTTTTACTTCTTTTCCTCCTCCACACTACATGTTTCGGCCCTAAATGGCCATCATCAGGTGTGTATCACTCACGTAGCTGTTACACTGCTTGTTAAAATTTAAAATTACCAGTCTTTCTAATTGTATAAAATCTTTGTT